GTTTTTCGGGTGAAGAACGGAAGACTCAGAAAGGGGAGCGAGCTGCCCAAGGCCACTGGGTTGATGGGGCAGAGCCGAGACTAGAACTGAGGGCTCGTGACTTTGAGTTCCATGCCCTTTCTGCTCACCCAGGGTTGGAAAGGATGGCAAGGACCCGGCCGGAGACGGCATTCTCCGCACCGGGCACCATTATCAGGGAAATCAGCAGCCCACTGGAGGGCTGCCTTGCACAGGGAAGCAGCCAGGCAGGTCTGGCGTCAGCCCAGAATGTGGCACCCGGCCCAGCCGTGGCAAGGGGTGCTGCCAGCTGGGCTCCATGCCAGGAACAGGGAGGGGCTCAGGGCCCCCTTTCCTGGCCTCAGCCTATGCCCTGCTAGCAGAGGGGGTCTAGAGACCCAGCACCGCTGATGTCATGAGTGTGATGCCCTCCAGTGCAGGACCTACCACCTACCTGCTTCCAGGCACTGGATCCTGCCAGGATGTGGGGAAGGACAGCCACGTCCCCTCCTGGGCCTGGTCACCCAGCAAGAATCTCCTTTGCTGGGTGGCTAGGGCCAGAGGAGAGAAGGAGCCCCAGTTCCTGAGGGGATCCCCAAAGGCAGGAAAGGGGAGGCTCCTTTAGGGAAGCAAGGTGTGAGGACAAAAATCATTCTGGAACTTTGCCAGAGCTTCCCACAATAATGATAAAATGGAGAGGGTGCTCAGGGTAAGGGAGGGTAGAAATGCTTTAAGAACAGAGTTTCCTGCCCAACTGAGGGCCTGAGCCCTGGTTTCTACAGGGATCAAGGAGAGGCCAGGGTCCTGAGAACTGCCAAATGTGGCCACTAAATCCATCTGCCACCACCCTGGATAATGACACCAGGCAGGGCAAAATTCAAGGAATATTGTGGACATTATCTCATTGGAATTCTCACAACCACATGAGGTAATACTATTACTCTCTCCATTTTCTAAATGAGGAAACTGAAACTCGGGTGAGCAAGTTCCTTCGCCTAAGGCAACCACTTACTGAGCGACAGCGGCAGGATTTGCACTGACCCTGGAGTCCATACACTGCCCCCACCCACGGTGAGCAGGAGACACACACTCCACACACAAAAATGATGAATGAGGGGCTTCCCTGGTGGCGCAGTGGTTGAGAGTCCGCCTGCCGATGCAGGAGACACGGGTTCGTGCCCCGGTCTGGGAAGATCCCACATGCCGCAGAGCGGCTGGGCCCGTGAGCCATGGCCGCTGAGCATGCGCGTCCGGAGCCTGTGCTCCGCAACGGGAGAGGCCACAGCAGTGAGAGGCCCGCGTACCGCAAAAAAAAAAAAAAAAAAAAAAAATTGATGAACGCACCAGCTGGCCATTGTCGGGTCATGCTGTCTACACTGACCCCTCTATTTCCAGGGAAGACTTTATTTAATGTTTGAAGGGTGGGGTGGGAGCACAGGGTAAAACCATTATCCAGAGTTCCAAGAAAGAGGGTCTCACCACTGTCCCTTCAAAAGTTTGGGCCAATGTCTCCAAGACCAGGGTGTCCTGTCTCACCAGGGTAATTCATGCTGTCAGGAAGCCTCAAGACCCTTTTCAGTTCAAAGGCAATTCTCACACCCGCCTCCTCATTGCTCCTCCTCCGCAGACAGAACCGTGGAGATTTCAGGAACAGATGCGCTCTCCTTCAGACAGGAGGTCTGGCTGAGATGCGCCTACAGCTTTCCCTCTTCCTGATCTGCTGCTGCGCCACTGGCCAGCTCCTGCCAGGCCCAGCCACTGGCTCTGTCATGATCCTGGGTCCCAGACCCTCCGCCTGAGCTGCCAGGAGTCCAGCCTCAGAGCTGGGTTCCGTGTGTGCGCACACATGCGCTGTGGGGACCAGGACAAGACCTCGGTTTGCTCCCACCCCCTGGAGATGGGAAAATGCCTACTCAGCAGCTAATGCCAGGAGGGCGAAGGGTCCAGGGTGGACGGGGGAAGAGAAATGTGACTCACACCCAACAGGGTGAAGCTAATCAGGTGAGTCTGGATCCAGGCCAGCCACTCCCTCCCGGACAACAGAGCAGAGCAGGGACTGCAATTAATTAAGTACTGGGGGAGGGTCTTCTTACCCCAGGGAAAGGAGGCCCTGCCAGAGGCCCTCAGAGAAGGGAGCTGTTGCGTTTCCAGGTCCTACCTCACTCATCCTAGAAACTGGGATAGAGGGTAAGGTACAGTCCCACAGCACAGACTCCTGGTCCTCTCCTGGCAGGTTCTCATCCAATTGGTATCCCACCCCACCCGCCATTCTCTTACACAGAGCCCTCCTCCCCAACCTGGAGGAACAGGAAAGATACTCTCTAAGGGCCTGGCCTGATGGGATCAGGAAAGCCTGCCTCCGTCTCTACTGAAAGCCAGGTACAGTGTGATAACTAGGAATTCCCTTCCAAATAACAAATACAGCTACCGGTTATTTAGTATTTGCCGTGTGCCAATGCATTACTTCATTTAATTCATGCAACAAACCTCCTTATTATGATCCCCATTTCACAGATGAGGAAACTGAGGTTGGGAGAAGCTCAAGAGTTTGCTGGGGAGAGAGAAGTCACACAGCTGGTATTGATACTTGCAGGAGCTGGGCTGGCCCTCTCCTTTAGGCCTCAAACTCAGGGAAGGAAAGAAGAAATCCACGGAGGGATGGATGGAGATGCTGGACAAAAGTCCAAAACCGGGTGACCCCAGAAAGTAGAGGCACAGCTGGAGTAGGAGCTGGGAGAAGCCAAGCGAGGCTCTGCCCTATAGTATGGGGCTTGTTTGCGTGGGCACAGGAAGGCCAGCTTGGCAGAGGACAGTCTGGGTCTGTCAAGAAAACAAATGCAGCCATAAAGGCAGCTTCATCTCCTCAAGGCCCGATGGGAAGGCTTCCAAGGCAGGCAGCTCAATCAGTCCCATGAGATCTTAGACCAAAAACCTACTTGTTCCTCAGACCAGGTACCCTCTCTCCTGCGATCCATGGAGAAGCTTGGTTCTGCCTGACACAGGATAAGGGGGAGCCTCCTTACTCACAGCACCAGCCCCATCCTTCCTTCTCCAAGGACTGCTATAGAATCAGACAACTCCAGAGTAGGCTGGCATCTCCCTTGATGCGGCAGGAACTAAGAGCCAGGGGGCTTGAGGTCAGATGAAGTGGGCTGGATCCCACCTTTGTGGATTTTGGGAAGGTTGGTATCTCAGAGTCTTTGTTTCCTCACCATAAAATGAAGATAATAATACCTACTTCATAAAGCTGTGTGGCACCCAATCAATAATAAATGCCCAGTCAAAAATAAAATCAAAAAATGGTAGCCACTGAGGCATTCAGAAATCGGATGCAACTTACTGAAGTCTACTCTGGCTCTGGAAACCCCAGGAAGTTTGGGAAGAATGAAAGCTCCTGGTGGGGCGTGGGCAGCCAGCGGGGAGAGTCCCAGTGGGCAATGAGGTTGCAGGGCCGGGGGGAGGTCAGCCTCACGGGCACATCAGCGGCACAGGAGGTTGACTGGGGCAGGGTAACCCGAGACAGTAGCTCTGCTGTAGCAAGGTGACCCTCTCTCCAGAACACCTTCAAGATGCAGACCCAAACCCAGGAGCCAGTGTTGCCTGGGACCATCTTCGCCTTCCCCCAACCCTAAGCAAGGTGGTCCCAGCCCCCTGGCCAAGGCAGAGGAAAGGTAGGGGATCTCTGAGGACATTTCTGTCAGCCAGACATTCCAGGCATCCTCGTCCTCGAGGATTCTACTCCCTCAGTCCAGTGTCCGGGAATGTGCTGTGTGCCCGTGCCCAGTGGAAAACGTCACACGAACATGCCGAATCTCACAGGGCGCTGACAAAGGAGGGGCAGGCTGGTGGTGTCAGTGAGTCACAGGGCCCAGGACACAGTTGGGGAACTGCTGAGGGCTGGGCTGGGGGTGGGGCTGAGGTTCTGGGAAGCTGACCCCCACTCCTCACAGCCCCAACTCTCCCACCCTTGCTGTCGGGAAGGGGCTCAGAGAGAATGAGAAAGAGGTCACTGGTGCCTAGCAGGGCGTTGACCCCAAGCACAGAAGATCAGTTACTGTCTCAACAACCGGACTCCCACCACAAAGCCTGCAGACAGCTCCAGAAACCCCCCGCCCCTAACAGGGAGAGAACAGAGGCCTCCAGCACAGCGGACCTCAGATTTCTGATTCCTGATCATCTCCCCAGAGACAGAAGAATCCTCAAGCCACATCTCCCAACAGGCCACCCACCCTTTCCCACCGCTGCGTTAACCCTTTGCCCGCTGCTGCTGGGTGGGGAGGTGGTACTGCCCCTTTGGGCTCCCGGGTGGGCAGGGAGAGAAGAGGCACAGTAAACCCCAGAGGCCCCCACTCAGCCCCCCACACACCCCTCAGCGCTGGCACCTGCAGGGCTTCACGTGTCCTGTCCTTCCACCTTCACCCCAGGGCCCTGGCCTCCCACCCAGCCACAGCCTGCCTCTCTGGAAAGTTCACCGGAGCCCAGAAAGGCCTTCAAGGCGGGATGTGGTCCCACACTGGCGGATTCTCCCGTTACCGGAGACTCCTGAAGCTTGCCCTTCCCATAAGGAAGGGAACTGAGAAAGCGCCTGGTTCCCGATGGGGTGGAAAACTTTGCTTCCTAGGAGCCCGGGGGCCAAAGTGAGTACCGGTGGAGACTCCCGGGAGTGGGGGGGTGGGGGTGGGGTGGGCGGAGGATCTGAGAAGGCAAAACAGTCCTCCCTCCTAAGCACCTGGAACATGGGACTGGCCTTTGCAGGGCATCGCCCACCCCCCAACACTCTTGTCCACTCGCCTCGTGATCTCGGACCTCTCCATGTCGCTCCGGTATTTCCCTCCAACCTCTCTCCCCAGGGCAAAAGCAGAACGGCGCCTTTAAGAGCCGCTCCGCTTACCTTTGCTTCGTTCACCCGGCGCCGCGGTGCCCCCTCCTCCGACCTCCCCTTCCTCCCCCGGCACGCCGCCCGCCCAGCCGGCCGGACACAGCGCGCCGCCCGCGGGACTCACCGCGCGTGTCCTGGGGTCCGCGGCGCGCCAGCTCCAGCCCGCGACGGCCGGGGTGCGGCGGGTCTGGGCGTCGTGCCCTGCGCCCTGCTGGGGTCCCTGCCCGGGCTCGGGGCGGCTTCCCCAGCTCCGGAAAGGTGAGCGGCTCCCCAGAGAAGCTGCAACCTGAGCTAGAAGAGGAGGAGGAGGAGGGAGAAGGGGAGGGGAAGGGAAGGGGTGGAGGAAGGTGGGGAAGAGGAGGGAGGGGGAGGAGGAAGAGGAAGGGAAGAGCCCGGCCCCCGCCAGAGTTTTTCACACGTACAAGTTGACTCCTCCCCCGTCCCTCCCGCCCTGCCCACTGCCGCTGCCAATCCCCAGGGCTCCCTCTGCCCGGGTGCCCACCCCTTTCTCCCACTCTGGGAACCAGGGTCCAAGTGCCTCTTCCGGTTTCGTTCCTAGGCCTGGCTTCTACCAGCCCTGTGGGACTGGCCCTGAGAGCCTACACTAGGGGATGAGGCCCTCCGGACTCACCCAGGACTGGGGCCAGGGCACGGGGTGATTTGCTGAGTGTCCACCCCTAGGTGTAGCCCTTCCAACCTTCTGAGTCTGAACCTGGATCCCAGCACCTGGCACCGCAGGAGCTAATGTGCGTGGCCAGGTCCTGTTGGTCATTTTCGCCCTTAGAGTTCTTGACAACAGTATTCCTGGCAGGGCTGTCCCTCTGTCCTGTCCAGTGGAACTTGTCACTTACCTTTAGGTAAGTAAAGGTAATCATCACTCCCACTTCCTCCCCTGATGAGAAATGCAGTTTGTCCTTTTGGAATTAAACCCCGCAGGCCAACTGAGAATCATCTAAGAAGCCTTACAGAATAGCTAGTTCTAGTCCAGCTTTCATTTTAGAGAAGGAGAAACTGAGACCCAGAAAGGATATTGGATTGGCCCAAAGTCCCACAGGGTTAGTGGCAAGCCATGATTAGGATCCAAGCCAGTGGCCTCTCCTCCTCTCCCTCAACCATCAGACTTCAGGGATCGAAGGAAAACTGGGATGGAATGAAGTGGCCCCATCTGGGCCCCTCCCAGCCCTGCTTCCTCCTGAAGAAGAGATGGGCACCAAATCAGGGAGGTCTGTGGCCTCTGACCTGCCAGTGGACATGGCCTCTGCAGTCTGGGGGACCTGTCAGGGGTCTCTTGAGGAAGGGTAGTCTACAGTGGGGATGTGTTTCTGTTGAACACTTTCTGACGATTGATCAAAAGTGAATGCCACTTCTTAAGTCCTAGGCTTTGAGCCTGGGGCCCTTTCCCTAGAGAGAATGAGTTGTTGAGGATAGGAAAATTTTCTTTCTGGAAGACATGGGCCTGAGTTTTGCCCTCCAACATCAGCCTGCATCCAACCTGTAGCACAAGATCTCTCGCAACTCCACAGGGCTTGGACTTGGGAGGGAGAAGGAAGACACTGGGCCCATCAGGAGAGTGACTTGTGGGTAGTCTGCAGGGCCACCTGGCAAAGGGCCTCCCAACTCTTTGCTACCTATGTTTTCCCTGCCAGGGCATGCAGATTTCCTGGGCACATGCACTCTGAGAATAAAACTGCCGAGTGTTGAAGCGTTGCAAAGAGCAGATGGATCCAGAGTCTCCAGGCTTTCAGGAAAGGAAGCAACCTTCTTGGCTCCATAATCCACGTGTGTGATAAGAATACTAGGGTTGCAGGGAGGAGTCCATGCAGAGGCAGGGAAGGAGCTATGCTAAGCAACTGTATTTTAGAGGATTAGAGAGAATGAAGCCAAAGGAACCAGGGGGATGGGTGAGGTCAAGAGGTTTCAACAAAGTTTTCTGAACATCTCTTATATGCCAAATAACGGCCAATTTACTGGGCACGAAAGAAGAATGAAATGCAGCCCTCCCCCTCAGAAAGCTCACCGTCTCATGGGGCAGTAAGTGACCAATTCCGGGGTGGAGGGCCAAGGTTAGAGCTGTGGCTGCCTGGAGGGGTGGCTCTGCTTGAACTGAGGGTTACAGGATGAGAGGACAATGGGGGGAGGAAGGGCTTTTCTGTTTTTCCAGCAGGGATAAGATGTACACAGTGCAGGGGTGAGAAGATACGGCTACACAGCTCTGTGAGGCCAGAGCTTAGAGTTGGTGGGGCCGGAGGTGACTTCGTAAAGCGAGGCAGGTGCTGGATTTTGAAGACCCTTCTATGTACACCATGGCTAACGAGCCAGGACCCTCTCCTGACAATACAAGGCAACCTGGAGCATTTCAGAGGAAAGAGGTATCACCAGGTCTGTGATTTAGGACGATCCTTCTGGCAGTCAAGTGGAGGATTGATGGTGGGGTCAGATCTGAACATGCGGACCCCAGTTTCAAGGCTGAATCTGGTGAAACATCATGCAAGCTTAGACTAGTGCAGTGGCAGCAGGGAGGAGAGGAGGAGAGATAGTTAGGAGACAGGGTCACGGAACTTCGCACCTAGAAGTTAAGGGAGTGGAGAGTGTCAAGGTTGGAACCACTGGTGTGATAGGCCAAGCTGGGAGCTCCTTAGGGATGCCTCGATTCCCAGAACGTCCTTGTATTGGCTGTGTGCCCTTGGGCAAGTGACTTAAACTTTCTGAGCCAAGTTTTGCAGCCTGTAATCAAAGATACTAAAATCGATGTGTGTGCTTGTGCATATTAACGATAATGTATGCCAAGGCACAGGGCTTGGCTTGTAACAGGAACTCAATAAATAGGAGATGTAATTACTGTTGTTTATCTATTCAACAAACATTTACTGAGCACCTGCTACGTGCCAAGGTCTGTACCGGATGGATCCTTGGGATTTAAATCTCAGTCCCCATTCTTATGCAGGTCAGCATCCCAGGGAGAGAGATGTGCAGAGGAAGAGTTCCTTAGCAAGGCAAAGGTAACTTCCAGGAGGAATCCCTTAACTGTGCCCAGGAGAATCAGGGACAGTTTCACAGAGGAGAGGTGACACCTTAAATGACGTAGGGTCAGCTACCTGCTCAGAGACTATCACATCATCCCCCCCACCCCCTGACGTGGGATTGCATTTCAGAATCTTTGAAATCTTCAGTTTTGAAGGCAACGCCTTGCTCCTTGGGGTTGGGGGAGGGGGATGGGCTGCAGATGGGTGTCTATATGCAGTCTGTATGGCAAATGGAGCCTTGGGAGCCCCAGGGAAGGGCATGAGCAAATGGACAGGTAGAAGGGGGAGCCAGGTAAGAGTGACCATAGGCATGTGAATGGAGCTTGCTAGCAGGATAAAGAGCCTACGTGTGTGTGTGTTTGGCTCATCCTAATTTTTCGGCTCCCTTTCTCTGCCCTTCGGAAAATTGCCTCCAAATCCTCTGGAGACCCCACCCTTCTCCCATGCCAATTTTCTTTCCATACATCTCTCAATAAGCCCAGCTTAGTAGAAGCAGCACTACCTGTGTCCTCCACTAAGGAGGGACTCCCACGCTGCTGCCCCACGAACCAAAACCTCAGGCTTTAAAGTCACATAGACGGTATGACCTTGGGCAGTTACTCACACCTCTGGTTTGCCCGTCTGTAACATGGAGATGGTAATAGTCTCTCTCTCGGGGCTGTTGTGAGGTTTTCATGAGATGTAAATCTAGCACCTATCAATGCTTGTTTCCCTTCTCTGCAGCCCAATAACTGGCTCCTTGCAGAGGGTCAGACAAGACTCTCTCAGCTGGGGGTTTCCCCTGGTGCTCCAGCTCCTGGGGCCTCTCCCCTGCAGGACCCTCCCCTCTGCTAGCCTAAAGGGTCTGCTGCATTCCTGGGAGGCTCTGGTGGCCCTAGCACAACAGGCTGGCAGGCCTGAGCAGCATGACAATGCGGGCCCCAGGGGCAGCCCAACCCACTCTTCCTTCTTATCCTGTCCCTCCTCCCCACTGCCAGTGACATGCTGCTGCTCTGCAGTTAGGACAGGCATCCCTGGGTGCCTGAGGGCTGAGTGGGGAAGCTGGAAACAGCTCTCCCTCACAGACTGTGTGGGCAGCGCTTTTGAATAGCTTCCGAAAAATCAAAGTTCAAGCCCGCCCCACTTTCTCCTGGGAGGCGCAGCATCCAGACAGGGAGAGTTCAGCCAACAGAGAATCTCCTTCCTGCAACACTGCTGCAGGCTCTCCTCCTTTCTGGTCCCTCCCTCACCCAGGCAGGCATGGTCTCCAGAAGCACTGCAGGAACCCTTGGAAGGCCCAGAGACCTGACTCTGCCCCTGAGGTGCAGGAGTCATTTCTTTATCTGGGCCTCAGTTTTACTCCTCTGCAAAATGGGAATAACGTGAATGCCTGCCTCTCAGGAGGATTCAATGAGAGTGTGAATGTCAAAGTGCTTTGTAAACTATAAAAAGATCTGCATGTGTGTGAGATCATTAGTGGTTGACCAAAGAGCCCTTCTTAGGGTTCTAGGAGACAAGTGAAGACAAGAGAAATGAGAAACTAAGTAAAAACAGAGAGAAATTCTCCCCAAGGGCATGTATGTCCTTGACAGGGAGGGGGGAAAGAGGCAGCAGAGACCTGAGCCCATGTACCAAGCCCCTATGGCCTAGCTCCTTAGGCTGTACTAGTCAGTTGGAAAAGCAGGACGTGGCTGGACTCAGCCAGTTCTTACTCCTCCACTGAAGAAACCCAGGCCATTGTTTTCCAATGACATGTGGGGAGTGGGGATGAGTAGGAGAAAAATATCATTTACCTGATTCCATTGTAATTCCGGTAGAGAGCCTGGAAGTTTCCACTTTATCGCTGCACCAAGCACCTTCTCCTCACTGTTTGTGCCACATGTACAGGCACATGTGTACTTGTGCATGTGTGTACACATGTACACACACACACCGCCCCCCATGCACGACCACGCCAGACCTCAGATCGGGCAACAGCTGCATCCCTAGAGGGTTCTAGGACAGGGCGGACACATAAACAGAGTCAGCCAATCACAGCCCTGTTGACCCTAGCAACCATCAAACCAATTAGAACCCCACCCCTGTATCCAGCAGTGCCTCCCAAACATACCACACACACACACACACACACACACACACAGAGCCTTCAGGTCGATGCATTACCACAACAACGAAACCACCACACAGAGCTGAGAAAATGGGAAAGTGGCCCTCAGCAACGAGACTGACAGTCACTGGGGTGAGAATGCAGGCAACCCTGGCTGGGGTTAGGTCACTGAATAGGGTCCCCATGCAGGATGAGGGAGAAGAGAGGCAGCTGGTCCACCTAGGCTTTCTAAGTAGC